TGTTTTCATGTAAATCTCCTTATCCCATCCTCCTCTTCCTCCTCCTCCCCCTCTTCTTCTTCTTCCTCCTTCCCCTCTTCCTCTTCCTCCTCCCCTTCTTCCTCTTCTCCCTCCCCCTCCTCCTCTTCCCCCTCCTCCCCTCTTCTTCTTCCTCCTTCCCCTCTTCCTCTTCCTTCCCCTCCCTCCTTCCTCCTCCTCCTCTCCTCTCTCCCTCCTCCTCCTTCCTCCTCCTCCCCACCTCCTTCACCCACCCTCCACTTTCCCCCTCTCTTTCTTCTTCCTTCTTATCCATCTCCTTCCTTGCTTCCTCAGAATTCTCTTATCTCCAACTGCTCCTGAATAAAGATAATGGATTCATGTATGTTGGGGCTTGGAGGATTCAACAAAGGATAAGATGACAGCTATTCTATACCCTTCTGGATTTCAAGGAAGGGAAGGGAAGGAGAGAGGGAAACGGGGAGAGGAAACAGAGATAAAATGTAATGTATTTTTCTCTTTTCTTTTCTTTTTTTCAGACACAAATCCGAGACCGTGAACTCGACTCCTGCTGAACTCAAAGCTCAGGACTTCCAGGTACGATGTAAAAAAAAAAATGAAAATAAATAATAATAATAATAAAAATACACAGAAAAATCGCGGTTAAGGCGATTACGTATTCCTAAAAACAAGGAAAAAAAGAAAAACTTACAAATACACAGAAAATGGCGGTTAAGGCGATCACATATTCCTGTATCTTTTCTGCTTGTGTATTTACTGCTATGTTTTAACTATAAAGGATAGCATATGATGTGATATAGCGAGATTCATAATGTCATTATTACAATATTTTGTTAAATTGAAGTTATTGGTAAAGCAACTTCATTTAGTGATTATTGCCTTTCCATCGATTTTGTAACTGCAATGGATATGCATCTCATCAATATTTCGTTTTTATTAGAAGGCATTGAAACAGGATGCAGTGAGTCGCTAATTTCAGAGTCCTTTTTTAGACAAGAACTACCTCCAGATTCGTAAAACTAAAATTACCAACTTTATCAAGCTTAGAGCCGTTGTAGTGAAAATTAAGTCTCATAAACTATATATATATATTTACTTTGGGTTTTGAAAGTTATCTTATGAACTATCACTTGTTTTTCAATAGGAAGGGTTGTAAAATTAAGCCTCATAAACTATATATATATTTACTTTGGGTTTTGAAAGTTATCTTATGAACTATCAGTTGTTTTTCAATAGTAATGGGTGTCGTTGTACCACCGAATAGACGCGGTACAGAAGTATAAGCCAATTTTTAATCACTGATATTTTTCAATTACTGATATTCCCATTACCAATACTCTACTGGATCAAACCAGCCTTACAAAAAAGAACACAATCCTATTATCATTACAAAAACACTAGCCTATCATCATCGAAAGTTCCTGTTAGTTATTTCTCTTTACATGCATCTACTTCCACGAACCGACTTCTATCTATTGTTCTATTCTATCTTAAAAAAAAACACGCTTAGCGACTTCTATCTATCATTCTACTCATATTATATCTATAACCACACTATTCTATCTTAAAATAAAACACATTCTAAGCCTCTTCTCTATTAATATTCCTCTACATCCACACATAAAAGAACAAAGATAACACTGAATACCTTTTATAACTATCGATCATAATCTTTGCGAAAACAGGTATGCATCACCATCATCGAGGCCCGGCAGCTGGCGGGTCTGAACATGGACCCCGTGGTGTGCGTGCAAGTCGGAGACCAGAAGAAATACACGTCGGTGAAGGAGTCGACGAACTGCCCTTATTACAATGAGGTGAGTGACGTGGACTGGCGTGATGGCGGGTGGGGTAGGGATGGGGGGTGGGGGGGGAAGACGGGAGTACAGAAGGGGGTTTTGAAAGGAGGTAGAGGAGTGTGTGTTGGGAAGGGGTGGGTGTGGGAGGGAGGGAAAGAGAGTGGGTTAGGGGAGTTTGGAGGGGGAGAGGGAGTGGAGGGAGGTGGGGATAAAGGGGAGTGGGGAGAGGGAGTGGAGGGGGAAGAAGAAAGAGTCGTATAGGGAGAAGGCTGGGAGATAGAGAGTAGAAGGATTAGGGGGAGGAAAAAGTTGAGAGAGAGAGAGGAGAGAGAAAGGGACGTTAAGAAGAAGGAAGGAAGGAAAGAAGGAGAAGGAGAGAGAGAGATGTAGAGGAAGAGAGAGAGAGAGAGAAAGCAAAATGGAGAACAGGAGTAAGAAAGAGAGAACAAAAAGGAAAAAAGAGACAGAGACAAAGAGAGTTAGAGCGAGAGCGAACGCAAGAACGAGAGCAAGAGCTAGAGCGAAAGAGAGTAAAAGGAAGAAAGAGCGAAAGAGAGTACGAGGGAGAAAGAGCGAAAGAGAGTACGAGGGAGAAAGAGCGAAAGAGAGTACGAGGGAGAGAGTACTTACATGCGAGTACAGTACGCATATACATAGCCTATTCACCATCAGACATTTTCCATCTGCTGGGCCGTAGCGAACTG